CACTCGATGTTCCAGAGATGGGACACAGAAACAAGGGGTTACAATTGAAAGTTGAAGACCCAGATGAGTCAAAGAGATGTTAGGAAGTATTTCTTCAGTCACAGAGTAGTCAGGAAGTGGAATAGCCTAGCAAGTGAGGTAGTGGAGGCAGGAACCATACATAGCTTTAAGATGAGATATGATAAAGCTCATGCAGCAGGGAGAGAGAGAGGACCTAGTAGCGCTCAGTGAAGAGGCGGGGTCCAGGAGCTGAGTATCGACCCCTTCAACCACAATTAGGTGAGTACACACACACAGGGAGCCAGAAACTGTTAAACGACCCCTGCAACCACATATGGATGAGTACACACACACATGGAGGAACACTGAAGCAGGTCTTCTGACCTATACAAGGCACAACCCCACCAAGTGCAAAGTTATGAAGCTTGGGAAAGACAAAAAAGTCCGCAGATAGGGTACAGGCTCGGGGGGAATGAGGCACGACTCTACACCGTGATCGTCAGGTCCATATTGGACCAGTATGGAACCCACACCTGGTCAAGCACATCTAGAAACCAAAAAAAGTGCAGAGGTTTGCAACAAGACTAGTCCTGGGGCTAAAGGGGTATGTTCTATGATGAGATATCAGGGGGAATTCAACCCAGTGACCCTGGAGGACAGGATGACTAAGGGAGGGGGGAGATATGATAACAACGTACAAAATACCGAGAGGAATTGACAGGGTAAACAGGGACAGAATGTTTCAGAGATAGGAAATGGGAACAAAAGGGTACACCTGAAAGTTGAAAACTCAGATGAGTCGGATGTTAGGAAGTATTTTTTCAACTCTAGAGTTATCAGGAAGTAAGAAGAGGTATGATATGGCACTTGTAGTCGAGAGAGAGAATGGACTAGTAGCAGCCAGTGAGCTGTGAATCGACCCTTGCAACCACATATAGGTGAATACACACAGGGCACAAGTGGAAGTTAAAAACACAGATGGGTCACGGGGATGTTATGAAATATTTCTTCAGACTCAGAGTGGTCAAGCAGGGAAACAATCTAGACAGCAAAGTGACAGGGAAAGGATTCATTCAAACCTTTAGAGAATAAGCATGATAGGGCTCACACAACCAGGCGAGAGGTTAGGTTAGGTAAGCTTTGTCAGGAAATAGGACAAGTGTTTCCTGACGCAGGTCTTAGTCATATGATGACCCGCCTCTGAAGCTTTTGGTCAATTGACCGAGGCCTTCGGCTAGCGGGAGAGAGAACGCAGTAGCGGCTACTTGAGAGGTGAGGCCAGGAGCTGAGACGCGACCCTTGCAACCAGAAACAGGCGCGTACAAATAGTTGAGCATACACTATTTACATAATCGTAGATTCTCTTCAGCTGAGCTATCAAGAGAGGCATGTCCGCTGCTGACGTTATCTCCACCACCATCGCACTGAGCCTACTGACTACACCGTTAATCTCCCTCAGTGAACACTATATTAATACTTTTGCCACCATACTATTAAAATTCTACACCAATGAACTGAGTCTCGACCCCTGCTATCACTTAGTGTATGTGTGTGTGCGTGATGATAATTTCACAGTTACGTGAAAGTGATATAAAACGACTATTTAACAAGTTTTGACCTCTCACAGAGACCATCTTCAGCAAACCATATGACTTAACTTCCATCACAAGACCTAAGTTTAGGGCAGTAACAAGTAACTTCAGGTCAGGGGTAGTGCCAGTGTCAGGTGAGATGATGAAATTGGGTCATGTTGCAATCGTAGCTTAGTCGAGGATTTTGGAAACAGCTTCTCATATATTTTTTTATGATTATAATTCTTGATATACTGGGGGAAACCACTGAACTATGCATTCATATCCAACAGATTTCTTATGCTCAATTATTCAGTTTTACGAGTCACATGCAGTCACTTCTGGGAATCATCGCCCCTGCTTCCCGGTCCCAGTTTCTACCATGAATTTTATATATGACAGGTGCAGTGGGGGTAATTTTTCTTTTATAAATCTCTGGTACAATGTCTTACTTTGTTAAGGGTAACGCGATGTACTTTTGCTGTTAGTAGGATTTTTGTTTTTGTTTGTTCTTTCACGTGGTACGGGATTAACAATTTAGTATCAGTTTCCACTGTGGAGTTTCATGTTTAATTTTGGTGCTGTAAAGGCTGTACTTGTCTCTTGCTTGATCTTGTTTTGTGTGAACCATTGTGGATAGGCGAGTCTTCTTGAATTGTGCAGTGATGCTTTTTTTTGTCAGAGTGCTGTGTACTGCGCAGTCAGTGTTGTGGCTTGCACAGTTTGAGTGTTGTGGCTTGCACAGTGTTGTGTACTGCACAGTCTGAGTGTTGTGGCTTGCACAGTATGAGTGTTGTGGCTTGCAGTGTTGTGTACTGCACAGTCTGAGTGTTGTGGCTTGCACAGTCTGAGTGTTGTGGTTTGCACAGTCTGAGTGTTGTGGCTTGCACAGTCTGTGTTATGGCTTGTACAGTCTGAGTGTTGTTGCTTGCACAGTGTTGTGTACTGCACAGTTTGAGTGTTGTGGCTTGCACAGTCTGAGTGTTGTGGCTTGCACAGTCTGAGTGTTGTGGCTTGCACAGTCTGTGTTGTGACTTGCACAGTCTGAGTGTTGTGGCTTGTACAGTCTGTTGTGGCTTGCACAGTCTGAGTGTTGTGGCTTGCACAGTGTTGTGTACTGCACAGTCTGAGTGTTGTGGCTTGCACAGTCTGAGTGTTGTGGCTTGCACAGTCTGAGTGTTGTGACTTGCACAGTCTGAGTGTTGTGGCTTGCACAGTCTGAGTGTTGTGGCTTGCACAGTGTTGTGTCTTGTACAGTCTGAGTGTTGTGGCTTGCACAGTCTGAGTGCTGTGGCTTGCACAGTCTAAGTGTTGTGGCTTGCACAGTCTGAGTGTTGTGGCTTGCACAGTCTGAGTGTTGTGGCTTGCACAGTCTGAGTGTTGTGGCTTGCACAGTCTGAGTGTTGTGGCTTGCACAGTCTGAGTGTTGTGGCTTGCACAGTCTGAGTGTTGTGGCTTGCACAGTCTGAGTGTTGTGGCTTGCACAGTGTTGTGTACTGCACAGTCTGAGTGTTGTGGCTTGCACAGTCTGAGTGTTGTGGCTTGCACAGTCTGAGTGCTGTGGCTTGCACAGTCTGAGTGTTGTGGCTTGCACAGTCTGTGTTGTGGCTTGCACAGTCTGAGTGTTGTGGCTTGCACAGTGTTGTGTACTGCACAGTCTGAGTGTTGTGGTTTCCACAGTCTGAGTGCTGTGGCTTGTACAGTGTTGTGTACTGCACAGTCTGAGTGTTGTGGCTTCCACAGTCTGAGTGTTGTGGCTTGCACAGTGTTGTGTACTGCTCAGTGTGAGTGTTGTGTCTTGTACAGTCTGAGTGCTGTGGCTTGCACAGTCTAAGTGTTGTGGCTTGCACAGTCTGAGTGTTGTGGCATGCACAGTGTTGTGTACTGCACAGTCTGAGTGTTGTGGCTTGCACAGTCTGAGTGTTGTGGTTTGCACAGTCTGAGTGTTGTGGCTTGCACAGTATGTGTTGTGGCTTCCACAGTCTGAGTGTTGTGGCTTGCACAGTCTGTGTTATGGCTTGTACAGTCTGAGTGTTGTGTCTTGCACAGTGTTGTGTACTGCACAGTTTGAGTGTTGTGTCTTGTACAGTCTGAGTGTTGTGGCTTGCACAGTCTGAGTGTTGTGGCTTGCACAGTGTTGTGTACTGCACAGTCTGAGTGTTGTGGCTTACACAGTCTAAGTGTTGTGGCTTGCACAGTCTGAGTGTTGTGGCTTGCACAGTCTGAGTGTTGTGGCTTGCACAGTGTTATGTACTGCAGAGTTTGGGTGTTGTGGCTTGCACAGTCTGAGTGTTGTGGCTTGCACAGTCTGAGTGTTGTACCTTGCACAGTGTTGTGTACTGCACAGTTTGAGTGCACCTAGAAACATTTCTCAGTCTACACTTCTTTTAATCTAGTCAGAAGGATGAATAAAAAAAGTGCAAAATAAGGCTGAAAGTGTAGATTTACGACATACAACGCATTCCAGCAGCGAAGTCTCCTTGATCACAAGTATACATACGTCCAGGAAAGGTAACCTGCCGCCTTTCTCCCACTGGAATTTAAATTTACCGCCGCGATCTAAATAATTTAATTCCCCCCCCCCCCCCAAAAAAAAAGGTCTGAAATTGTCTCCATTTCTCTTTTTAGATAGTAAATACCTCGTGTGTGAGTTGACTGTCTATTCTGGTTATGGTTGGTAAATGGGATTGAGAGGCTGTCGACTACACGAGGGTCATTAAGCCTACACGGGAACCTTTTCACCACCAGGCAAGATTAGTCTAATCCCTAAATCAAGGATTACACACTGAGAGAAATACACCCCTCAGGGTATATATCCTGTGAGGTCCATGCTCTTTACATTCAGTCATGCAAAGTTATTTAGAATATAACTTATAAATAGTTTACGTAAGTTTAAATGGTTTTATTCTTTATAGATGGCTTGTTCTTACTTCATTTCTGAAGTCAGATTTCATTATGCTCAAATTTCTTTGCAAACAGAGCATTGCGAGGTACCACAAAGGTATGAACCAAAACAGCAAGGTATGAACCGAAGCAGGTACCAGGAAGATATAACCCGAGACAGTGGTACCAGGAAGGTATGAACCGGCAAAATATAGAAACTATGCCCACCTGATTCGCTGACTTATTTCATGACTTGCCTCTTGAAATGACTTAACACTTATACGTATGCCGCGGAGATTCCCTGTTAAACAAAATATATCGCCCACACCGTTCCCTACTTTTCAAAGTGCAGTCAGAAATAATACTGATACAAAGAAGACGTGCATTTCTCTCAGCGTATACACCCTGAGTTAAATTATGTTCTGGTGGTGTAAAATGTTACGTGTAGCCTTAATGACCTCTGTGTAGTCGTCAGGCCTTTTAAGCCCCATTAACCAATCAATATTGTTATAGTGTTTGTGACATTTGGTTCTATTATTTTGACAGGCTGCGGAGTGTGGAGGATAGCGAGGCATTGCATCCCGGCCCGTCCAACCAGTCAGCCAGAATCTGCCAACCAAAACAAACTTACTCAAACTTAGATAACAGTTTTTCTATAAACTTACGTAAGAGAAGTGTTCAACACGAAGATTCCTCATTACCTTTGAAACGTTGAGGAAATAAGTGTTGTGTAGACGTATATATCAAGATATTTTCAAAGTCTTGCCAGGCGCCACCTAGCCTAGCCACCCTGAGTCTAGCTTGTTCTAGCAAGGCCCCTGCACATGTCCTAGGTCTGTCCTTGACTGACCTAGTGTGTCATCGTTCCTGCGGTGACATTATTTGCTCTTGTCTGGGCTTGTCCGACGTACCATAGGGAGGGAGAGAGAAAGAAGACCGACACAAGCAGAGTAATAGAACCCACCACACAACAGCCATGGCCAACAGGGAGATCAACATTCGCATCCCCATCCCCAACTTTAACTCTTTCTGCTGCTGGACCAGCGAGAAGACAGGTGAGTCTTTCGAGTTTTAAATCTCTCATTTACCATCTATGTTGGTTACTTGTCCTCCATATTTCTGTCTATCCACCTGTCTATCCGTCTGTTTATCTGTGTGCAGATAATGTTTTTATTTTGGTCTTATGCATAAATTTAAACTTTAACAATGGAACAATAGTCTTAGTATGACCCAGTAGAGTCAAAGTGACTCATTGGAGTCCTTGTGTTATATAGCTATATAATGTTATAGTTGCATACGCATGTATACAAGCACTACCGCAGCTATGTTGAAAAATATAATACAATACCGACAAGTTGATGATTAAGACACATGTGCAACATTTGGGAATACTACCTGTTTATAAATTCAAGTCTCTTCTCAAAGATCACTTACTTACCCAAAACCAAATAAATACTGAATAACTGAACCTTATAAATTGTATATCTTAAATGTTTCTCACAATTATATCACATAAATGTTAAACCTAAAACCCAATCTAACTTTATTATTTTTTAAATACACTACCTAACAGAATACTCCATACGACTGAATGTACAACAATGCATACAACCATATGACCTGTCTTTGTAATACTCACTTGTGCTTTATAGTAATCTGTTTACATTAATGTTTTATCACTGATTTCATCATTGCTTAGTTAATCTTAAGTTAATTTTAAGCCAGCCCGTAATGCTATGCATAGTATAAGTGGCTTTGGCATGCTGCTCTTATCTGTATTTTTTTGTACCTCTGTATGTGCTCAAATTGTTAATAAATAAATAAATAAATACTTATTGTTGAAACGTTTCGCCTACACAGGAGACTTCTTCAGTCACAGAGGCAGCAGGTGTAGTAGTGATATGATGTAATCATTTCACTACTACACCTGCTGCCTCTGACTGAAGAAGCCTACAGTATGGGCGAAACGTTTCAATATATACCCAGCTGTTGCACATGTCTTAATCATCACTGCTTCATCTACTGGGGGTTAAAGCCGAGATGCAGATACTTATTTATTTTTCAATTAATGGCTAATTTTCAATGTATTGTGTTGGCCAATTACCACGAAAACATGATTGTTAAAAAATCACATATAAACTGAAAGTCATATTTTTTTTAAAAACGATTTCTTAGATTTTTTCAGCATGTGATTTTTAATCCTCCGCTCCTCTCAAATTTAAATGCTGCCTCTGCCACTGTATACAAACTTATACACAATTATATTAACTAAGTTAAGTCAATACAAAAAATAATATAGCAGACCAAAGATAAACTATGAACATTTTTAACGATACAATAAATAACTGTCCTCCCTTTCTACTGTTTCATTCATTAAATATTCTTCGTTCTCAAATTGATTTATAATAAGACTGGCTTTGACATGGTCAGATAGCCCATTCCAGTTTATTATGGCTGTGTAAAAGGTGTTTGAGGCCTGGCCACTTACTGTGGCTATTACAAAATTGTGTTTTTCCCCCTTGTATAACAATGGCCTTGGTTCTTAACTTTAAAAAAAATGCAGCAGCATATTTTGGGCAGTGTTAGGAATTTTGTAAATATGGTTCTCTCTCTCTCCCTTTATATAAACATCCTGGGGTGTTAGGACACCATGACGTCATTACGCGGGACAGTTGCCAGTTAGTGTGGCTTAGTGTGTGTGAGGATACTCAGCAGTAACAGTGATACCTATCTGAGTGTAAGGGAGTTCATCTATACCTCTTCGATCAGGTGGTTGGTTTACTTCTGCCATTTCCCACTATCGCCCAAGCTAATACATTTCCTTGCCACAGTTGTACTTCAGGAATACCATTGTACTGCGACTGTGACTCGTTATTATATGTCAGTGTTGTGCCCTGTGTCAAAATGTATGTCATTTATCTACCTTTTCGTTGACCTGGAATATTTTGTACGTCATAATCATATCTCTTCTTTATTGTACGCTTAAGTGCCGTGAGGTGTAGCGTATTCAGTCTTGAGTTCCTATAATAAATTTTATTTATTCTGGTGAACCTCAGAACTTTATAGAGCTTTTCCGTGTACCCGTCGAGATGAGGGCTCTACCGGTGCTGTGTACTCAAGGATTGGTAAGCCCCGAAGTTCTATATAATGGGTAAAAATGTCATTATACGTCACTTTACAACTCCAGAGCTTTAGCAGTATTCATGTGTTACCAGTAGTTTCTTCCGGAGTTCACCGCCCCCTTGGCACTGTCCCAGACCAGGTCTGATTCCTAGCCTGATCGATCAGGCTAGGAATCAGGCTGAGTAAAAATTATCCATACACTGCACTGTGTTAGTTGATGCTTAAAAAATACATTATTTTATCACAGTAGTTTTCTTTTTCGTATGTTATGGTTCTTAGTTAATTCGTTAGAGCAAATCACCAGACATGGGAGATGGGACAGTCAGTGAACCATAGTACCCGGCACTATGGTATGCTGTTTTGCTTACAGTGTTTGTATAGCAATTTATTATAGACCTACAGTGGTGATATATATAGTAAAAGGTTAATAATAATCCAGGATAACGCAAGAAAGACGATATGGCTTATTTCCTTTGACGTCATTAGGCCTCTTTGGGTTTTTTAGGTCCACTTGGGGTCTTCGAGTCCCAGTGGGTCAAAAACTATTTATAACACTCACCTAGATATGTATATGGTACTGCGCAGTGTTACGAAACACTGACAGATTTAAGGTTAGCAGAATGAAGATTGCATCAAGTGTATTGCTGTAGGTCTGTTGTAACTGCATTGCAATAACTCTGTTGTTCTTAATGGTACCATGTATCCGCTGTAGCACCGTTGTAAGTAATGGTACCATGTCTGGTCGCAAGAGGGCAGACGTGACTCATAAACCATCTATTAATACGGCTGACAATGACGCCACTCACTTACTCTCAACCTGAATTCATTTGTAATATTATCCTTTAAGAGAGGGACGGGGGTGCCTTGGTTCACGTAAAGGGGCTCTTGATCTAGGGAATTGGAGCTACCTTACCCTTAGTTGAAACCCGATTGCCTCATTAGATGCCCCAGAGCTGTATAATTTCTTTGGATTTAATGCTTTCCTTAATAATAATAATAATAATAATAATAATAAGGTTACAAGATTTCTTATTTTACCTGCCTACCTAGCTGGTTGCTGAGGTGATCAGCCAGGCTGTTGGTGCTGGCAGCATGCAGTCTGATAAACACACAACCCGGCTGATCAGGAACTAACTTGAGGAACCTACCTAGTTCCCTCTTGAAGACGGCTAGAGAGCTGTTGGCAACTCCCCCTACCTGGAGGGTATTCCGGGGATAAACGCCTCCGCGGCCCGGTCCATGACCAGGCCTCCTGGTAGATCAGGGCCTGATCAACGAGGCTGTTACTGCTGGCCGCACGTAGTCCAACGTACGAACCACAGCCCGGCTGATCTGGCACTGACTTAGGTATCTGTCCAGCTCCCTCTTGAAGACAACCAGGGGTCTTTTGGTAATTCCCCTTATGGCTGGTGGGAGGCTGTTGAACAGTCTTGGGCCCCGGACACTTCTTGTGTTTTAGTGTACTAATAGCGCCCTTACTTTTCACTGGGGGTATGTTGCATCGCCTGCCAAGTAGGGCGTGATTTCGGTGTGCAGATTAGGGTCCAGTCCCTCCAGAATCTTCCAGGTATAGATTATAATGCATTTCTCTAGCCTGCGCTCCAGTGAGTACAAACCAAGTGCTTCCAAGCATTCCCAGTAGTTAAAGTGTTTGATGGAACTTATATGTGCAGTAAAGGTTCTCTGTACATTCTCTAGATCTGCATTTCACCTGCCTCAAATGGAGATGTTAATTTAATGTACAACAATATTCCAGCCTAGAGAGAACAAGTGATTTAAAAAGGATCATCATTGGCTTGGCATCTCTTGTCTTGAATGGTCTCATTATCCATCCCCTTAGGGAGGGTATTAAAAAATCTTGGCCCTTTTACACTTATTGAGTTGCCTCTTAGTGTACGAGAGAGCGAGCGAGCGAGAGAGAGAGAGAGAGAGAGCGAGAGAGAGCGAGAGAGAGCGAGAGAGAGCGAGAGAGAGCGAGAGAGAGCGAGAGCGAGAGAGAGCGAGAGAGAGAGCGAGAGAGAGCGAGAGAGAGAGAGCGAGAGAGAGAGAGAGAGAGAGAGAGCGAGAGAGAGAGAGAGAGAGAGAGAGAGAGAGAGAGAGAGAGAGAGAGAGAGATTAAGGGAAGAGAATGAAAGGGAGTGTCGAACATCCTGCTGGTTTGTGAGGGTGAGTCACTATCATCCTCGCCCTGTCTCCAACTGTGCTCATGTCCCTCATCACCACTGTAAATACCACCCCTGTAAGTATTGTGTTACCTAACGTCACCACCACTGTAAATACTATTAATTTATACTCTAACCTGACATAACACTGTAAATACCACCAACGTATACTCTGTTACCTGTCATCACCAATGTAAATACTACCCCTGTAAACACCACAATCATTAGCATGATCTCTGCAAATGTTAGTAAACATTTTGTAATCATCAATGTAAATGCCGCCCCTGTAAACACCATTATCATCAGTATGTATTGCAAAATCCACCAATGTAAAATCAATACTTCTAACGCTACGGCTAAATATATCACCACTGTAAACATCACAAGTGTCAACACTGCCAGCATACACACACTGTAAACATCACAAATGTCAACACTGCTGTTAGTATACACACACTGTAAACATCACAACTGTCAACACTGCCAGTATACACACACTGTAAACATCACAACTGTCAACACTGCCAGTATACACACACTGTAAACATCACAACTGTCAACACTGCCAGTATACACACACTGTAAACATCACAACTGTCAACACTGCCAGTATACACACATTGTAAACATCACAACTGTCAACACTGCCAGTATACACACATTGTAAACATCACAACTGTCAACACTGCCAGCATACACACACTAAACATCACAAATGTCAACACTGCCAGTATACACACACTGTAAACATCACAACTGTCAACACTGCC